TCCACAGCCCCTGATATTAGACAGTGTAGAAGGGAGTAGAAATTTAAAGGGGGGGGGGGTTGCAATCCTGTAGGTGGACAGGACATCTGAAACTATTTTTCATGGTCTAATGGTTTTGAAAATGAATCTAACTCATACATATATTGTAAAAGACCCGTTACCATTTCCACAGGTATTTTTCATTAATTCACTTAATGAGTATGTATTGCCTATCTGCCGTGTACAAAACATTGTACTAGGCAAGCACCAAGGTGACTAGGGGGAGGACAGGATTGCAATACTGAGGTATTTTCAGTCTAAAAGGCCCTAGGTGTTTGCAAATACAAAGGTATTTACAGTCTAAAGGGGGAAACTCTCATATATTTACAACAAATTATTGTGCAAGAACCACAACACAAGTTCCATGACATTTGTTCATCCAATTTATCACCAGAGACCATGCTGGGCCTAAAACTTAGTAGGCACATAAAGATGATGGTGAATCAGTAAATTCAACAGAGATATGAGCCATGCTAGATAGGAGGCAGCAATGAATCAACTCTGAACGTGGTATCTGAGAAAGCTTAGGAGAGACGGAAATAAAGCTTAGAAGCTGGCTCTTGAAGAAAAAGCAGGAGCCCAACAAAGAGGGAAGAAAAGGACCCTGCAGTATGAAGTAACAGACAAGCGTGAGACGAGCACGCGGCAGAGCACAGGAAGACTTAGGGGCATGCGCAGCCTGGTCTGTGTGCTGAGGAGCAGTATCATGAAGCAGTGTAGTAGAAAGGAACAGCGATACCGGGAAGTGAAGGCATGGATTATCGGATAAAGCAGTTCTGATTTAGTACTTACACTATGTGCAACACTGTGCTGCCCATGCAGTAACTCATTTAATAACACAGAAACCCTGTAAGAGAGGCACTATTACTCCCCATTTTACAGGTGAGGAAAATCAGGCACAGAGAGGTTAAGTACATCCAAGTAATACAGCTAATAAGTCATAGAGCCAGTGCCCTGGTTCCCATTAGTACAATTAAAACATTTTGAATAGGTGAGTGGCATAGGCTTTGTGTTGCTACTACATTTTTCTTTCACAAATAATAAGCATATTCAAGTTAAATTTAGAAAGTAAGCACCATGAATATTAGCTGTTCCTTATCTGTATTTAAAAATCTAAATCATCAAATGTATTAATTTCCACTTTTGTCTTTTCCTCATTGAATGATATTACTACTTCCTAAAATTACTGGCTTAAGGATTGTTTTACTGGTGATTAATCTACAGTATAATATAGTACAATTACATTTATTTTTGTACACATTCATAAAATATTGGGTTGTCGGAAAAGTCATGACATATTTTTTCTATGTTTTTCGTTGCAAAAATGCGTCATGACTTTTCCAACAACCCAATATTTAACTAAAATTTTCTAATATTGAATTCTGGAAAAGGTGGGGGTTTTTGTTTTTGTTTTTTTTCCTGAAATCATTGTACCGGTCTCTTGTCTTTGTAACTTTGAACTTCATCTAGAGACAGTTGTTGATGGCATCCAATTCATCATCATACAGGTTATACTCATGTTTTGTCATCATCTTAGAGAAATATTTTCTGCCTCAAAAAATTTTCCAATCTCCTAATAAATATGCTCCCTTTTAATAGCAGGTCTTTCAACTATCAATTCATTCTCATAATTCTTACCTACTTTTTCTGAATACTTATATAAACTAAAAATATCAACTAATTGCTTTACCCGAGTACTTTCATTAGCTCCAATAAATAGCAATGCTTTTTTACCTCACTGAAATCTTTAACATTCCATGCTTCAATTCTTTTAGATTATTTAAACAATTTTTAAAAATTATTTTATCTGAAACCCTTGGAATAGACACAGACTTTGTCCTTGTGGCCTGTCCTATCAATATGCTTGGACTTAGGTAACCATTAAGTCCCTGTTCTCAGAGACCTTGCCCGCACATCTTCTCCAGCAATGCCTTGGGGTGGAGACACAGGAGAAATATTCTGATCCCTGCTCAAGTCATAGTATGATTATAGGGAATGCCCTGTGGTTGGCTTTATGTAATCTAGAGGAACACAACAGGCTAAGGTATCTGATACTCATGTGGTACAAGAAACCAAAGAAAGCTACAGGATATTTAGCTTAAAGTAGAGAACTGACTAACATAGAGAAAATATCATGGACTCTTTATGGGAATATCTGTAACTAGGTGTTTGCTATGTCAGAGGGTAGAAATAAGACTAATATGTAGAAGCCACTGGAAGGTAATTTTCAGCTAAATGGAAAAAATTATCTAAATAGAGATATTCAAAAATGGAATAAGGTACTTCCTAATGGAAGGAGGCAGCCATTTGTTGGGTTTCCTCCAGCAGAGAGACATTAAAAACAGGGTGCTTAGATAATTTATTTTTCAAACAAGAACGCATTTGAGAAAGAAAGGATAACAGTGATAAACCAGGATTTCCCAAGCAAACCTATCTCACATCACCCTAATTCACCCTTGTGGTTGACCACCAGCTCTGTGGTCATGTTGAAAATTTTTCCTTATGGAAAATAAGGAAAGATTGGCCCGACTAGGGGAAAGGCAAGAGGTCAGAGCTCGTTGAGAAAAAGGGCAAACTGTGACCTTCTCAGCCCTTATATTCTCACCCTGATAGAATAAAGTCCTAAGACCCAGACCAAGTAGGATCTGTGAGAGCAAGCTTTGATACGAGCAAAGAGTTAAGATCCAAAGGGATCCAACTGGAAAAATTTCCAGGATAGGCATTGTTCCCAGATCCAGGGTGGAGTAAATACTATTCCCAAACCAAGTTATTCAGAGGGTTCTACAAGAGCATAACACAAACAAAGTAATAACAGAGCCAACCCCAAAGGACTGAAGATTATTGAGGTGGCAAAGTGAGAGCAGGAACAGTCTAGCAGCAGGACTCCCCCTCATTGCAGACAGGCATTGTGAGAAGCATGGAGAAGTACAGGGTGCATACGGAGCACATTTTCCCTAACTATGATCCATGCTTACCATACTAGATAGGCCTAGAATTATCCAATTGTACATACTTTTTCTTCCATTCTTAATGGCAACTGAAATATAATTACCAAAACTTTACTACAACTTACCACATTGCAATCACTACAAGTGTTTGAAAGGGTTATTAAAAATTAACATTCCTAAACTAAAATTTCCACTTACTAACTGCAGTGGGTACTAATGGCTGCATACGCAGCTCCTATCTCCCTTTTGCGCTTTGCCCCAATGTTGATGGGCACCTTCTACTTTGCCATGCAGCCAATCTGACTCAGCCAACCTGACACCACTCCAAGTTAGATTGAGCCACATAATCCCAGTCTGCTGCCCTGTGATCACTCAGCTCAAGCCAACAGCATTGGCACATCCCTTGGCGACTGGTATCAGTCCAGGCACAATGCATGAAATCAGTCGTACTTCAGGGAAAGGCTAATTTTCAACATGAACAAGGGCAAGCATGTTCAATTCAACGAATACCAACCTGTGGATAAAGTCACCACGTGAGGGGACTGAGCAAAGAGAATGAGAGAATGTCAGGAAGACAGAGACAGAGCTTTATTTTCACCAGGCACTCCCTACCTTTCGTTTACCTTTGTATACGATAACTTTCTTATTGTTTAAAGCAGTTTGAGGTGGATTATCTTGACTCTTCAGCTGAAAGTAGCCTTACAGATCCATAAAACAGTGGTTCCCAAACTGCATATTGGAATCACCTGGAGATTTTCCAAGGTTGGTGATGTCCATGTTCTACTCAGAGGGTATGAATTCCCACCAGGACTCTGTCCTCCCCCCATAATGAAGAGGTACGTTTGTGTTTTGCAGCAAGATTTGAGTTGCTCCCCAGCCATCCTGTGTGGGTTTCTGCTTGATTCCCTTGTCTGTGTGGCATTTCAGAAAATATGAGTTTGAGAGCTTTCTGTATTAAAATGGGAATATAAATCTCTGTAAGTCACATGCTTATGGTCTCAAGGAGCCACAGTGAGTTGTCCCAACTGTTCATCAATAATTTCTACCTTTATTTAAAGACAGCTTTGAAGTAAACAATGAAATAAGAGATGTCACTAAAAATAAATAAATAAATACTACCTATTTTAAATGGTGGAGTGTATAAAAGGACAGAGATGGAGTGGGAGAGGAGAACTCAAGATTTGACCACACCGTTAACAAGTTCAAATACCTCTAAACCTCAGTACCCTACTGAATGGAAAAGTGAGAAAAATAGTATCTGTTTCATCTCTATAGTGATGAAACACTTTTGTGAGAATAATACAAGACAATACAATTCAAAAAACTCAAAATAAAAAAGTGCTTGCTGAACATAAGTTATTATCACAAGAGACCTAGTGAGTTAAAAATGAAGACTAGACCTAACCCTAACAGACACAGCAGGTTGAAATGGCTTGGAGAGTTAAATCCTCCACCAGCCTAATTCTTTCCTCACCCCTTTATCCTTCCTCTCACTACCCTGCATCAATGTCTAGCTTGCTCTGTAAATGCAACTCTAAGACTCATAATGCTGTCACTAAGAGGCAGGAAGGTTGTTTTGTTGCATTTTCCCCCTAGGTTTTTAGAAGCATTCCACTTCCTCATCAAGAGTATACCTCTGGGTACCACTATGCTATATGATTCCCCACTTGAATTATAATGTCTATCAAAAGAGGTATCTCTTGGGAGGCTTGAGTGCTAAGTGGGGAGTGATTTTTAGAGAGATGTGTGGGAAATGGTTTCAATATTTGGCAGTTTCTAAAGGCAATATGATTTGAGATGTTAGGTTTTTTAAAAAATACTTGATCAGCTCATACTATTCCCTTATTTCTGAAAATGCCTTGTCATTAGAATATTATATTTGGCAGCTGCACCAAAGTAGAACTTTCATAAACCAGAGGATTGTAATTTTTAGTTTATTCCATTCATTTATCATGTTTCACATAAATCACATAAATGTATATACTCACTAGGAAATCAATCTTTCTTTTGCAGATCTCTCCATTAAAAAGTACCATTCTGAAACGAAAGACATAGACAATGCCCCAAGAATCGAAACAGCTGAAAGTACTGCAAAAATGTACAAACTGTCAACCATGAGACGAATATTCGATTTGGCAAAGCATCGAACAAAACGATCAGCATTTTTCCCAGCTGGGGTTAAAGTCTGTCCTCAGGAATCCATGAAACAGATTTTAGCCAGTCTTCAAGCTTATTATAGATTGAGAGGTAAGGAAAAAGATGAAACCTATTTAGCCTTTTGTTCTTTTCAGGCCTTCCTTTTCATTCATCCATAGGTTGGTTTCAGCCCAAAACTTCCAGTCTCTCATTCAGTCACAAGAGTTATAAAAATCAGAGTAATGAATTTATGAGAGTAATGAATAATTATTATGAGAGTAATGAATAATTAAGACTACCAGAAAAGTATGGTAAGTATTTGCTCCTGTATTTTAAAATAATGTCCTGTACAATGCAGAACCATTAGGGCATTTAACAAGTCACCAGAAAGCATTAGTATCTGGGTTTTACCTCTTTTATTTTTGTGGAAGCCCAATGTTAAATTTTAATGTTGTTATTATGAAATAAGAAGCACAGGATGATTGCAACGTCAGGAATCTGAGCAAATTGATTTATGACTTAAGATTTTATTTTTCAAAAGCGACATTACAATCCAGATATGCTCTCCCTTCTTGATAAGTTTAAGTTGTTTCTTGCTGATTAAGCAAAAACTTCTGAAGCTAATTAAAAGGGAGGCACATCTGAGTGCAGAAGAGTCCCAAATTAACAGGGGGTACGAAGTTATAATGGGGTGATAATGGGATTTACAACACAATCACTGTGATTTCCAGCAGAGTTACAGTGCAGTTTTTACCCCCAAGACAGCATCACAGGATTCTTACAGCATTCCTGGAAATTACTGTGGAGTTCAATCATACCACAGCTGTCAGTAGCTGTCCTTGTCATTCACTTACCATGGATGAAAAAATTCCTATGGCATCTTCTTTAAAGGGAAAAAGGAATTTTTGGTAGCTGCTATTAAATTCCACAGGTAGCTTCAAATAATGCAAAGTATCTTGTCTAGCTGAAGCCTATACTCAGTCTTAACATGTGAAAGTTGAGGAGGCTTACTGATTTCCATCTTGATTATACTAGATGTTTGCTTCCATTCCAAAATGCACAGTCACCCTGACCTATTCCAGGCCCATTCACTAGAGCAAGCTGGTTAAGCCTAGCCTGTGATGTGTTGTACATTATGACAACTGAAAACAATTTTATGATATTAATATCCCAAATAGTTTTTGAGTATTTAAATCTGTAATATATGCAAGGGTTGTATTAATCTGAAGAGTTCTTCTTGGTTTTGGAGGCATAATAAACTAACAGTATCAAAAATATCAAGCCTTATGTAACTCATATATCTCATTTTATGTAGAAGTAGAGATATTTGCTTTCTTACAGAAACCACACCCACAGAGAAATGACAAGTACCAGATCATAGTCAGGAGGAAAACTCTGATTATAGAAAATCAAGTACACTATATTAAGATTTTGAGGTGCTAGCACAGAACCTCTGCATAGCAGGTTCTCGGTAAATGATTATTAATGAATACAGGAGGCAAAGAGGCCAATGGGAACGCAAAGAAAAGACAGTGACATGTAAATTATTCATGTTGAAAACTCCATTTTATTTGTTCATGGATGGAAATAGATAGATAGATAGATAGATAGATAGATAAATAGATAGATAGATAGAAAATGTATACACATTTTAAGAAAGGAAAAAACTATTCAAATTATAATACTCAATATATACCAATAACAAAAGATGAATACACATCACATTTGACTTCTGCAATTACAAGAGGTGCTCCAAGTGGTTACCATCAGCATCCAGACACTTCTGATTACGGTGAACTACTGCTTGAGCAACGTTCACCAAAGTGTCCACTTTTATACATTTTGGGGGGACCCCCAGTATATATATAATATTATATATAGAATATTCTATATAGAATATATATTATATATAATATGAATCCCATTGAATATGAACACAACTATTGCTTTTTTCATGTATCTTTGAATTCTTTATGACATTCACAAATAGAATTTATCACAAGTATTTGCAGAAAAGACTATTGTTGCAACCCAATTTTTAGCTCTGAATTTTGTTCTTAGTTCTTTATTCTTGGTTAGGTTTGCCTCTTTCATTCTTGCTTCCCTGGATGAAATAAACCAATGTTCTTCTGCCACCCCCACCGCTGGCAATGATAGTCCATTATCTTTATGGCTGCCCCTGGGTGATATGAAATTTTACTATTCATCAACATGCGTTTCTTAAGTCTAACAAGTTGGTTCATAAAGTAACTAGAAATAAGACCCAGCTATAAAGCAGTGTTTCTTTTACAGAGAAACCCACTTATTATTCTCGTAGCTGCTTTTACAAAATTATCTGTTGACATCTTTTAAACTTAGGAGAGAAAGCACTTATACTACTCAAATCAAATTGAATATTGAGCTATTTCTTTTTCTGATGCTTAAAGCAATACAAGTGAAATGTTCTGAGCTTCATTGTAAAATCATAAACATGCTGATCCCAAAGCAGAGACACAGAAGAAACAAGTTTGTTTATGGTTGTCTCCCAGGGCGAATCCTGTGCTCCTACCCAGGAAAACTCCCTCCTTTGCAACAGCCTCCGTTTAAACTACCCACCCCCCATGTCTCTCTGTCTGCCTTCCTCCCTACTAGACCAGTAGACTTCAAACTTGGAGTAGATACCTGCTGTATTTGAAGACTTTCCAAGGGATAAACAGGTGCACAAACAGTTTAAATAAAATCAATTTCTATGTTTCAACTTTCTTATCATGCTTTCCTAACATTGGCCTGTCTAAGGGCACACCTTTCCTCCTTCACTTTCCTTTTGGTCATCATTTTCTCCCCATTCATTGATGCCTAATCTTCCTGTGGCACAGTGTCCCTAGGTTGCCGCACAAAGGGATGATTTGAAATCATCCTTGAGGTTAAGAAAGCAAGTAACTTAGTTGAGGGATAACACACATCTGTGCAATTAAGGTGGTTTCTCATTCTTTGCTTTTAACACATTAGGAGTCCTGATGGAGTTGACAGCTGACAGATCATTAAAAATAATGATGACAGCTCATGATGTGATTGTTAGTATATAATGCCAAAGGAACTTAAAGAATAAGGATACTACTATAACAAAACCCCCTCTGTTCCTACCTATTGATTTATGTAACAATTTTTCTCAGTGAAACTAGGTAAAAGAATAGGGATAAAATTATTTTAACAATATTTAATATGAATAATAAGTAATATTACATGAACTAATAGAGGAATAATACCAAAGAAATGCCATCTATTCAGAGGCCGAAGCTAATGAAGCTTTAGCTATGAGCCCTTCATTTAAACTGGCCGTTTCCAGAGCTTTGTTCCTAATTTTGTATTCATATACACTAGTACCCAGAAATCCAGTGTCTGATCTTATATCTATCCATTAATAGCAACTTACTTTACTTTTTGTCAAATTTATATCTATTTGTGTAAACCAATTATATATTAAATGTAATTACAAATGCAAATTAATCCAGAAGAAATTTCTTTGTACACAAAAAGCCTACAGTCACAGGAAATTAAAAAATATATACACAATTTCAATTTATGTAAACTTTTGTTACTGAGAAGTATTTTAGAACAACCAATAATAGACTTTCAAGCTTAAAATAAATTACATTAGGTACAACTGAAGTGGGAAGTAGAAAGGAAATGTGGGTATATGGAGAAAAGGAATTACGTGACATTTCCTACTGTTAAGAAGAGTTCTTTCCTGTATTCCTTACTAGTATTTGATGGCAAGTATTCAGTGGCTATGGTAGATTGCACTGGATATATATGAAAGCTCTAATTTTTGTTTTATTTTCAGTATCAACATTTACAACACACCAAAAGTGACATCTTAACCAAGTGTTTAAACTTATCCAAGTATAAAAGTTTTAGATATCAACTGAAAAGCTTGCAAAGGTGTGCACCATTTAAAAATTATTTATGGGACTAAGTGGGAAAAAAAGTTAGATGAATTATTTCATAAGCAATTATATTGATTTTTTTATCTCTAGAGGAATGGAGAACAATTGAAGGCTTTGGGGCACAATCTGACATCACATTATTTTTTAAAGAATCTTTGACTACTGTGCTGAGAAAGGGATTGTGGGGGAGAACAAAGTGATAGAAGCCCACTTTAGAAACTTAAACTCCTATGCTTTATTCTCCCTGAATCCCCACTTATTCTATGTCTGGATTTCTCTTAGCTCTCTGTTTTAAGAGGCAAAGAGAATTCCAAACCACAAAGGCTCAGTTCATTTAGCAGCAGCAACCTGACCAGAACCCAAACAAAGCCAGAAGTAGGTACAGTCCCCACCATCTCAAATGTGCAATGATTTTTCCACATTTGAGAAAGTAACAGGGGTCAGCACACCTGGAAACCAATATAATAATCTCTTACTAGAAAACCCATGTTTGTGAACATGATCTCTCTCCTGCCAGGCAAGGATCAGAGAGTTTTAATGCCTTTCCCAATACCAATCATTATGTAGTCTTTAGATCTTCATCTCTAGTCAAGAGTCTACATGCTGTGCAAGAAGGAAACATTTGTTCAAACTCTAGGAGCTGTGGGTCTAGTCCAAGCAAACCTGCTGCCCTTGCTTTCCTTCTTCCCTACATACCCTACACTCTCTTGGGGGATGTTATTTTGCCCTTCCATGTTCCCCCAATGTACCTGCTAGTTTAGTTCAAAACCTGCTGGAGTGCCAGATACAAACAATACATAAAATAAACTAGCCTTGCCTTTGAGGGCTTAGCATTGTTGACTTTCACTAACAATGTCCATGTGTGAAGCATCTGGGAGGACATGATGGGATAATCCTTCATTTACCAGTTTGACACACACACACACACACACACACACACACACACACACACACACACTTGTGTTGCTTTTGGTCTCAGATTAAATTTTCCTTTTATTTCCATTTAAGGCTTGTTTTTGGTGCCTGCATCTTCCTAGCTCTGTTCCTTTGCCTACTGCCTTTTCTTCTACCTCAGAGGCACAGAACACTCCCATCCCCATTAAAACCTACTTTTCACAATGCCTCTGACAGAACTTTCTCCCCAAAGCACGAATATCTGAAACTGCTTGAAGAATGATCTCCCTGGAGCATTGTAGCTTATAGGGATCGACTAAAACAGGAAATAGTAGCTTTTCTTTAGGCTCATTTTGAGAGGCAGCTTTTTTTGGTGCGCCCCCTGATATCATTTTGCTAGTCTCCTGGAAGCTTAACAGATGCCAGGAGGTATAGAATCCTTCTGTGCCCACTGGGAGGGTCCCTTGTCTTTACCTTGGCATCAAAAGAACCTTTGAAAGTGGAGGCCCCAAAGGACCTCAGGGCAGGAGAGAGCCTAAAAACTTCTGAAAGTTGGATTTTTCTAACCCTTGGAGTTACCTGTTCTGCACCATCTTTCTCTGAATCTACTGGGAAGGCTTGCCACAGGGATTTCAGAGCAATCCCAAGTCTTGCTTCCTGTCATCCCATGGTTGCTGGCCACTGCCTGAATCTGACCACGAAGCCTAGGACTTTCTGCTGAATGTCAGACCCTAGGCTGTTCAAAGATGTAGCAAGAACCCCAGGGAACACATTCCCTGGAGGCCAGACATACTCGAGGTGGTTCTTCACATTAGGGAGGATTACATGGAATGTGAAAATGTCCACCGCAGGGTAAGGCACACATTAGATGGAGAGATAGCACACTGAGATGGGAGTCAGGATGCTGGGTTCTAACTGCTCTGCCACCAACGGTGGCTGTGAGTGAGCATGTCACCTCATTTTTCTTATCTGTACATTGGGGGTGTTGCCTAGATGTTGTTTAGACGGGTGCTTCTAGAACTTTAAAGTGCAAGTGGATTACCTGGGAATCTTACTAAAATGCAGATTCTGAAAGCAGGTCTGGTGCGGGATCTGAGTATCTGCACTTCTAACAAGTTCCCTGGGAAGGTGATGTTGCTGGTTTGTGGACACACGGAGTCGCAAGCATGAGGACTCCCTGTATTTAACTTTCTCTAAGTCACATTCATGTGAAAGAGACATTTAGCTTTTGATATTGGGACTAGGAGAAAGAGACCAAGGTGGAGGAAGGGAGGACCAACACAATTTGTGGCCCTCTCTCCACATCCTTCTGTCTTCATCCTCTGATACTCTCAACCTTGCTCTGGCCACACTGACCTCCTTGCTGTTCCTTCAATGCTCATATCATTGTTCAACCTTGGGGCCTTTTCCCAAACTGCTCAAAAGTCACCTTTATAATGAGGCTTTCCTCAACCGCCCTACTTTAAATTGCTGTCCTACACGCGCGCACACACACACACACACACACACACAAGCACACACGCACACACACACATATTTTCTATCTTCTTTTATTTTTCTCCATAGCACATATGGATGCTCAACAAATAGTTGTTAAATGAATTCATTTCTATGGGCTATGAATTGCATGTCAACATAAGCCCTAAAAGGGCTTTCCATGCTATAAGAATGTGCTTGGGTTGTGAGATCTTCTACTCCTAATGGTGCTGCATTGCAGTGTGTCAGGAAGCAGTGTGGGAAGCATATCGAATCTTTCTGGATCGGATCCCTGACACAGGCGAGTACCAGGACTGGGTCAGCATCTGCCAGCGGGAGACTTTCTGCCTCTTTGACATTGGGAAAAACTTCAGCCACTCCCAGGAGCACCTGGCTATTCTACAGCAGGTGAGCCTAAAGCCTCTATGTTTGGAACACTGCCCGAAGAGCTCCCAGACCTCCTGCCCCTTTTTAATTGCTTTCCACAGCAAAAGGGTTGCTTGGAGATATATGATAAGGCCAACAGGAGTGTTGTTCTTACAGAATAACATTGTACAGGCAGGTTGAAGTGAAGTTAAAGGAAAAGGGAATGAAAATAGACTTTAGCTCTTCAGTTGGCATTATCTCTTGGTAAAATTACTTTTTTTCTTTCTGCAGAGAATAAAACAGAGACACTTCCCTGAGAGGTAAGTACCCAAAATAGAGTACTGCATGTTCTCGACTTTTGAAATATCACATAATGGAGTGAGTCTCAGCTATTGTACCTTTATGATTATTAAGTCAACCACTGAGATCTGTGTAGGTTATTCTGACAATTTATACATTATTGTCCTAAAGATAAATGAATATAAGAAGAGAAATGGTTAGACCTTATAGATTGAGATATATGTTTGCACTCTGTTTTCAGATGAAATGAACTCATTACCATGTGATAAATATCTAAAATATGCTCTCACTTAAAAGCTATACAGCAATTTAAATAGTATGATTTTTAGAATTTACAATAAATTATTAGTTACATCAGGAAAATATTTAATACAGAGAGCAACCTGAATTTTGAACTCTCTTTTGACATTCTGTAAAGTGTTAGTATTTCTCAAACTAAATTACTGAACCAATGAGCTATGTCCTCAACAGGAAATGTATATCAAATAAGAAAATCAAAATGTAAAAGAAAAGAAAGGAAAGATAGATTAGATAAAATAATTAAAGAAGAGTGACGCCATTGCCAACTCTAACCTCACAAATTACATACATTTTATAACATTCAGAAATCTAAATCTAAAGATAATAATACTATAGAGAGAGACACAAATTTGGCTGTATGATTACTGATAATTCTTTATCATGCTTTTCACATTTGTTCCTTAATTTTTATTCCCTTTGCCAACAGCCTAATCCAGGATTGTATTAATTTACACAGGAAAACCGTCAAATCTGATCTCCCTAACAGATTTCCTTGGCTCTAACCTCTTCCTCACCTGAATGTGCCTAACTGCTGCAGGATTGTTATGTCTGAAATAGTCCTTTTCTTACATTGAGCCCTGTTCAGTGGCTTCCAAGAGATTCCCACTTTTCCTCTTGCCCTAAATATCCCCTCCCTATATTTCCCCACCTGTTCTGTGCAGAAGGCCGAGCAGGAAAGACTGAAACCCTGGCATCCCCTCTACCCTGACTTCTGAGTAGTGTCAGCCAATAGGGAGTAAGATATCAGAGTAAGGGAGGAAAATGAGATGAGCAAATGTATCACCTCCTCTCCCCCCAACCTGCAAAGTCTGAGGGCTACTGCTCTCCAACTTCAGCTCGTGAAGCAGCCCTCTCCACAGAGCTTTATCTGTCTCTAGCTTGCGATAACTGCTCCATGCTTTCACCCATCCTGCCTCAGGAGTGGTTGCTGTTATATTCTTTCCACAACTTAGTAATAATCTCTTTATTAAACTTTGCTCAAATTACCCCACTATGAGTGAACCACCTGCTTCCTGCCAGGACCTTCACTGAGGCAGAGGCCAAGCTAATGAATCAAGGCCCTTGAGCCCCTGACCTTTCCCACTTTGCCTTTCCCATGATCCCACTGCTGGCTGTCACCATGCCACTTCCTCACTGCACAGAGACCCTACCTTATTCATCCCACACTCTGACTCCAAGTCTTTCTCTCTTCCCTGGAAGAACCTACCTTCTCCACTCCAACTCTAAATCCTACTCCCCTTTCAGGCTCCAAGTGGAGTCCCGCCTCCTCATGATGTCTTAACGTGACATTTGAGCCTGGCACAATCTCTCCCTGCTTTGAGTTTTGTGTTCTTTTTGGCACTTATATTTTATTTAACATTTCCTTGCTTTAACCTGTTTCCTATGAGAGTGTAAATACCTCCAGGGCAGGAACTGTTTTATATTTCTCCACCAACTGCTACAGAACTGAGCAAAGTTTTCATATATTTATAATATATAACTGTCCTTAATATGTCTATCTAGCCACACTTTCATAAATTTTTAAAAGTTATTGCCAAAAGAAATAATGTGACCTAGGAAAATAGTACTAGAGCATTAGTACTGTTCATGAAACACAGAGATATTGACTCCTCTGATTTAAATACAGGATAATACCACTCGTCCATTTTCCAAAAAGAAAAAGAAAGTAGAGGCCATTCATAAGAAAGAATTCAACAGAATGTACTCGGACTTGATAGAAAAACATTAAAAATTTGCAGGAAATGATTATCCAAGCCAGAAAGAGAAAGAAATAGAATCATTGTATGTACTCATATACCTACCAGCATTGCAAGAGAGAAAGAAGGAACAATAGATAAATATTTTACACTACCTATTGTTGCCAAGTTGTTTTTTTAAAAAAAGAAAGAAAAGAGGAAAACAACCTCTCTTTTACTTCAAACCTTTCCAAGTAGAGAAAACAGAAAAATTTCTCACCTGACTTGCCCATGAATCTGCCAGTTTCAAATGACTTTAAAATAATAGCCAGTGGAACAACCCAACAGCCTAGCTTCCCAAATTCTAGCTCCTCAGTGATGGTCTAGATTGCCGGCATAGTGGCAGAAGCACACCAGCCCAAGCTGTTGACCTGTAACTAAGGCAGCAGCCAGCATTTTAAGAACTTCTCTTCTTGGTTATTTTCTTTTTTACAAGGTAAAACAAGGATACTAAAATGATAACAGGAGAAAGGAGACCTTATTAGAACCAAAGCTCTATAAAGTAAAAAAAGAGAAAGAAAATTGTCTAAGTTACAAATGCTATAATATTTGATATGAGAGTTTCCTAAATATTACCTCCATAAAAACTATTTATTAAACACATAGCATAATACCAACAAAAACAACCAAGAATAGCTAATTCCAAATTAGTTTAATTTAGCCTGTGTTCACCAATATAATCATCCATGTTTACAACTAACACCCATTCTAATTGGCCAGAGCTATGCCAGGCTAATTGATACATTTTGTACATTATCCCTATTAGCACTTTTGCAGAATTGAGTGTGGTAGAAATATATAGATGGTCCTATTGGCCATGGCCAATTTCTATGACTCTACAACAACAGAGTACCTAGCCATTCCCTTTGGTCTTCCATCATCATGAGCCACAGAAAATTGTATCAACTATATTGCTCAACTGTTACGACTGTATTGTACAAACACAGACACAATTCTTTGGGACCTCCTAACTTATAGTAACAAATCTTTTAGTGAGCGTCAAAAGACATGACTGCTGCTATTTCTTTCTAAATAAAGCTTCCTAGAATGGGCCTACATTATATATAGTCAATTCTATAACCATGACCTTAAGTCTGCCCTCAGAATATATTCCACACTGCCACTCCATAGCACTGCAAACCAACCCACATCTTCCTGGCTAGTTACCATTGCAGGCAATGGTTATGTCCAAAATAGAGATTTAATATATCTGCATTATACAGAAATCTATTTTTCTCTCATTACTGTAACCACAGAGTTACTTTATTAGACAAACTTAATGACTCTTTGGATTTACAGGTTTGAAGGTCTGAGATTTTAGCAAGAATATTTCAGCCATAGATCATGTCATCGATTACCTTTGATGTCAAGGACACAGTTTAAGCACAAGGGACTATAAAATATCAGGCCCCAAAACCATTTTTGCCTACTAGAGAAATGACCCCCAGGACCACAAAAAGCCAAGCTGCTTATGAAAAGCCCTGGGGTCAAACATAACCATTTTGAGGGGTTGTTTGAATTTTGTCTCAATGAAAACATATTAGAAGATTACTTCTATAATGAAAAAACAGGTAAACCCAGTTTTACAGTACATTTTTTCTCTAATTTTTAGGTCTATTGAATATAGGCAAATTTAAATGCATTTCCCCTGTTGTCCTCAAGCTCCTTTTCAGCACCTCTTCTTTCTTCTCTGTTTTGCTAATAGAAAAGATGAACTATCCACAGAAGAGATATTAGGAGAGCCACATGAAACCTCTGTGTTTTCAACAGGTAAGCTTAGGTCTCCTTTTGTCTGCTTCAGAACCTTACTTCAAATCATCACAAAAGCATTGTATTAATATTTCAAAAGCAAGCCTTACTTGAAGTCAACAAAGTTTATAATGTCCTGTCTCAAAACTAACTTGCATTTCTAACCTTACAAATGATTTATATTTATTGTATAAAACTTGGAAAATCTTTCTTTCTTTTTTTTTTTTTAGCTGAGCCATCCTGCCACCTGTTGGCAGCTCAGCTCAGGCCGAGAATCAAACCACTGTTGCTCAGAGTTCTCACTCTTGAGCGAGCTCTTAACCAACTGAGCCACTCAGCCAGCCCCTTAAGTGAGCTCTTAACTAACTGAGCCACTCGGCCAGACCTAACTTGGAAAATCTAGAAAAGAATAAAGGTAAAACCAAATTGCCCATAATCGTACAACTTGGAGGCAATCATTACCAATATTTTAAAACAAACAAATTTAAGATAAATATCTGTCTATGCAGCCTTTATATAGTCACAAAAAGGAAAATTAACCAGATCTCTTTAGGTAAAACCATTTCACTTCAACACATCTAGAACAGCAAACTTGGGTCCTAGAAAGGAAGAATGAAGAAGCGGGATCAAGAGTGAGAGTCATATTTTGCTCAAGAACATACCGGGGGTGCCAAAAATATATATACACATGACTCGTATTCATCTTTTGTTATTGATATATATTGAGTATTACAATATTAATATCGTTTTTTCTTTTCTTAAAATGTATATACATTTTTTTGGCACCCTCTGCATTTATGTGATCTTAAAATAAACACGAGCTCAGAATGCATCTAACATCTGTAAATTCTAGAATGACAAAAAAAAGCATATGAATTGTGACCTTGTTCTAATGTAAACTACTCCAGTCTCAGTTTTTGTGCCTGTTGTTTTTTTAACTTCCCCAGATCTTACCGGTGACTCACTCTGGCCCTTTCCTCTCACTCCTGATGACACACTCCTCAACAACACCAAGATGCCTACAATAGTAAGAAGTTCTGAGGGTCAATCTAGCTCCTCACGTGCCTGTTTTTGTTTTATTAATAAAACAGAATAAGAGAATGGATGGACTGGCCATTCTATAGCCATGACCTTGGATCTGCCTTTAGAATACATTATCAGTGCTGCATTTTTATCACTCGAATTAAGAGCCAGTGACTTCGTCCTACTCAATATTGTCGCTTCTTCCTAGAGACTGAGGGGCAAAAACAGATTGAAAACTAGGATAAGGTAGAGGAATTGCAAGAAATAACTTAATTATAAATTCCAGGAAGGCAGGTACCTAACAGATAATTATATACAGCAGGTGCTCACCAAGCTTTAGAATGAATGGATCAATGAATGAATGAATGAACGAACCTATCAAGAAATCAGATTCTTTCTCCACTGCAGTGTAATCTCATACTGACAACAAGGAAGAAATTTTGTTCTCAGTCATGTCCAGCGTGAACAGATCAGATGAATATCAAAACGATCTAAATACTGCATGTCAAGTACAGAAAATGTAAACAGTGTTGCAGGCAAACAGGAGCACTGGCAGCCGCTCTGTTTGAGTGAAAAGACATGCAGGATGAGAGGATTGTTGCAGAATTTAATGTTGGTTATCAACAAAGGGGGCCATTTTTAACCCCTCAAAAAAGCTTTGAGCCAGACCGAAGTAGGGGAACGACGCCCTCCTTACTACTGAGCAGTGGGCTGTGGCAGCACAAGGCGGGCAGCAGGCTCAGAAGGGGCCGTAGGATGGGGGTGGCGGGTCAGAACCTGGATCTTTGCATCCTTACATCGCCACTGCAACCACATCTGCCGTGCCCTGTGCCCTGTGCCCTGTGAGGCTTCTCTAGCCTTCCCTCTTCCTGTGAACTTCCATCCAAGGTGAAGGTCAAAGCGCAGATGGTAAGGGCAGGAAATTCAGCCTCACCAGCTAGACATGAAAATTCAGGGATAGGAGTCCTGATGGCCACTCTCTCTCAGGCCTTTAGGCCAGATGGCTACAGATTTCGTGGAACTATTGTTATGAAAGAATAAAAATGTTTTATTTTTCTCAAACATACTATTCTATCAACAATGAAAAGTGATGTTGAAAATAATAATTGATTAAACATATTCACTATAAAATTTCTAAGACAACTCTAGTTTGCCTTCTCTTTTCTCACGTTACCTATGTCCCCATCTTCTTCAAAATCTAATATAGTTCCCTCCTTCTAAAGTAAATATCCCCTGAATATTTTATTTCACATTCACCACATCCTTCTTATAACATCCTTTTTACCAACTGCATCTATTACTTATTCTTCCATTCAGCAAACATTTAACTAAAATTCACTTTTGTGACAGGCATTAGGCTATGCACCAAAGATCCTAAGATGAACAAGATGTGGTCCCTGCCTTTAAGAAATTTCTAATGTAAATAAGTACAACAAAATAGTCTAAATGCTATGATTTAAGATGTCAGATGTATGGACTGGAATAAAATGATACATTGGAACAGGTTGCAAAGGATGTGATCCCTAGTCACGTGTATTTCCTGAGAGTTTTGTACATAAATGGCCTCATATATTTTAGTTTGGGAAATTCCACAAAGTGTGAGAATCATACTGGATTCAAGGAGATTATATGTGGGATGACAGGATTAGCATATAAAAAGAAGATTCTAGGTGAGTACATCATAGGTACCAAATGAGCAATTCAGATGTTATCTGCTGCTACAGGAGGTCAGAGGAGGCAAAGTTATCTACCTTAGATGGGTCAGAGGAGTTATTATTTTAAATGAGCCATGAGATATTGATAAGAAGTAAAAAAAAGGTGTGTGTAAGAAGTAAAAAATGGCGTGTGTGTGATTGCTGGAGGTGGGTCTGGGGAGCAGTGAGGAGGCTATCCAGTCAAGAGAGTAGCACAAGCAATGTTATGTCTCAGCAACAGCGAAGAGAACCATTTGCTGGTCAGGACAAGGAGGAGTGAGACGGACTAAAACTGTTTAAGCAGATTGGATTCAGATGGAAGAGAGTCTTGATGTCAGGAAAGAGTTGGGTTTTATCCCATAGGTAATAGGGAGTCACTGAGGGTGCTGAGTGAGAGACATGAAAAATTAATCCAGTGATTGAGGGTAACTTAGGAGACTTGTCACTAATACACCTAAAGAATTTATTTAAATGTCTTTTGAGAACTTCAAATCTGCCTAATGAAATGGTAAATTTCTAGAGGATAATACTATATGCCATGCTTTTCTTTCAACTTCCCACAGATCTTATCACTGTGCTATACCCATACAGATGCTCAGCGTGTACTATTTGAATGGATGATGAGTGAGTGGATGAGTGAATGAATGAATGAATGGATGAATGAATAAATGAATGAAGACCTTTTTGATAAACAAATATCAGTAGTCTGGTAAGTGTGAATCAATGTCCTCCACGAACCCTATTAAAGTTAGAGACTGTGGCGCTGTCCACTACCTATGGAAGAGGGGAGTCTGTGATAAGAAATGAGGAGAAACTAGATCAGCCATCACCCACATGAGTTTTGCCCCTCGTGACATTTTCCATTGGTTGTTCTCTCAGCTTCCACAACTCTAGTTTCACTATAAGAAACTGTGAACATTACCAGAGACAGTACATTTTTCACAGGCATATTTTTTTACTCTTTTGAGAAAGCTGCAGATCTCAGGATCATCTGGGTACCCAAGGCTGAAAATCTGTCAAACCCCAAGGTTGAAACCCAGATCTAGGCTTGTTCTGTGCCAGGAGAACCCCTCATGAGTTAAGAACAATGAGAAGCTCCTGCTTGTTATCAAATCAAAGGACAAGAAGGATGACCGCTGGTCCTTTGTGACCAAAGGCCAAATCAGAACAGTACTGCTGTTCCTAGCCACATGCCTCCAAAGGTGGCCCAAAGGTGCCATTCCTTCTGAGAGAAATGTCAAACCCTCTCTTGACCGACAGTGCTTTCTAACGAGTTTCAATGTGAAATTTAAGCACAAGTAGTCTTATTAAACCAGCCTAGGCTCTTTCTAAAAAGGAGTATATTAAATAATATCTCAGCATCCATAGTTTATATTGTCTACTCTAGTCCCCATCAAAAAGTATTTATAAGGTTATACAAAGATATAGCACAATCCTAGTGATGTTCCAGCAAAGTATATAATTGTGTGTGTGTGTGTGTGTGTGTGTAAACGCTTTCATGAAGAGCACATAGTCATAAAATGACAGTGTTCTCAAAGATTCTATGTAATTAGCTCATTGGATCTTTGGTACTTTTTCTCTTGATGAAATTCTTAAGCCACTTCTAGTTAAGAGGACTTTTATTCTAAAAACACTAGAGACTTCCTAATCCATTTCTTGAGACAAGATCAATGTATGATATATAATATAGCCATTTACTTGTGTTTTATATTAATAGGAGACCTTTTTTTCAAATTAGGAAAGAGAAATAGAATTCACTGAGGCATCCAAGGGCCCACTGGTGCAGCAGGTGGAGCTGAGCATCTCTCTGACAAGCCATAAGTTCAAGTCAGAGCTCACGGACTCCCAGTCCCCATATTACCAGGAGCTAGCAGTGAAGTCTCAAGTTCAGGTGAGTGAGCCCACCACACACAATCACAGACCAAGTCATGACTCAGAACCTGGGAGACAACATGGCATAAACCCTTTTGACTAACAGTTCCAACTTCTTATTACCAGGCGTTCATTTTTAACCACTGAAAAGAAATCAAAAACTGTAATTGATCCCAAAATGTTACGACAAACGGATCTCCAGGAAAGTTTTCCATTTCTGCTTTTCCATCTTAAAAGTCATTTACATGTAGATTTTCTTTAAATATTGGTAGACTTTTAAATCTCATTTAACCGAAAGTCACTAAGCAGATATTCTATATGTCTAAAATGTCCATGTGGGCACCAGCTGGGAACCTGCTGGGTTGAAATATGAATTTTTAATCCCTAATACTTTGTCTTACATAATATTTCCATATTTGTAGTTCCTGCAATTTAAAGACATGGCATTTTTCATGGGTGATAAGTGGAAGGTAGTTATGTTGTCCATGTCATCCATCACTAAAGTAAGGAGCTGACCCAGGATGTCTCTTCCATCTCTGACCATCATCATATCTGCCTTGCCCGATTAAATTAAAAGGCTCTTCATTCCCTGCAGAATAAATGCAAACTACTATGCTGAACGTCGCATCTATATGCCATGAGAAGACCCCTGCCTTTCTTTCCAGCCTCATCTTAACACCAGTTCCTTACTGTCCCCCTCCTTTGCACTCTACTTTCCATAAATATAGGCTGCTTGCAAATCTTTCCTCACCTTTAGTCTTTACATGGGCTGCCTTCCCTGGATTTCATTTTATTAATGTCATGAAAAATTCCCTCTACCCATTATGGGTTCAGTGCCTCTTCTCTAAGCTAAGACCTGGTACCCAGTGTTGTGACAACACTTATCACCCAGCCTTGAGATTGTTTGTTTCCATGGCCTTTGCTGTCTCCTTTCCTCCCACCTACCACCACCCTCACTGTCCCTTGAGGGCAGGAAGTGTCTCTGTCATCTCTGCAGACTTACCTCAGTAATATAGAGTTTGGGATGCAGTTAACTACTCAGTAATGTAGACATGCAACTAAAAGCAGAAGCGCTCATGAGATAACAAACAGGAACATTTATGGACAGCCTGGGTGCCCAAGCATCTTACTCAGCATGGTGAGGGAACAAACAGGCCCTTACCTCTCATGCTTTGAGAATTCAATGCTTACCTCCTCCCAGCTGGAGAGGACGTGAGTAAGCAAACGATATTCTTAACCTCCAGCATCTCCCTGCATCAGCATTCTGTCAATAAAATGTAAAGAATCATTTTTACAAACTTCTAAGAGAAAGTATCAGTATGCGGTGTTTACGAACCAGTGAAGTACCTAGACATGGATTGTTAGATAGAATGAATTTTAAAAATAGCCTGTTAACTTTTCTATTTGTTCTCTGAAATTGTCTCTTCAGCAAATCCTTAGTATAATCAGAGTATTTTCAAAATTGGATAATTGGCCAACTTACCTGTTGTTAATTTTTTAAGCACCTGAAACAACCTAAGGTGCAATAGAATGATGCAAATAAATTACAATATTTTTAAAAATCTGAATTCTAGTCTTGTTCCTGCCAAGTGTTAGCCATGAGAATTTGGGGATCACTACCCTGACCTTAGAGTCCTCATTTAGAAATTAAAGGTGACCTCACAGTCCCTATCCAAGTCTAAAACACTGTGTATAGAAATAATACCACTGTCCTTAATGTTTGATATGTATTAGCTTATTTCATTTTTCACACGATCTTTTAAGTTAAATAGCATTATTTCCAGTTTTTACAAGTGAGAATACTGAGGCAAAAGGAGATTAATTAAAATGCCCAACAATGTCACGTCTATTAACTGGTAGAGGCAAGATTCAAATGTAGGCAGCCTGGCACCAGAACCCCTGCTCTTAGCCACTATGTTTTAATTCCTATTTTACCCCAATATTTATGGGGGAAGGATTTTGGCATTATCATCAAATAAACATGTCTCTTCTAGCCTTTGAAATATTTATTAGCCAAAGAAGAGCACGTCTTGCTTGGTCTTATTCCAGAGACCTATCACATCAGCGCTCCTGGTTCCATTTGCCTGATCACTGGCTTCTCTAAGATGCAGCCCCTCTTGTTAGAGCATCTGTTCCCCTCTCAGGCTCCTGTGCAGTCTGGACACCTAGCAGCCTGCCTTCAGATAACCAACCAGCCCCACCATAGCCCAACACTTATATTAGCATAGTCATTTGGACCTAATCGGAAATTGATGGTCAGTGCTTTGCAGTAATTTAATTTCCACAATAAACTTAATGAGCAATTTAATACAAATGTCAAAAGGAATGCTTAGTTGCTGTCTGAGTGCTTGCTCCTGTGCAAACATTCATGAGAACCCAATACAGCTGCCTTTTTATAGCCCCGTTAACATACATTCCAGCAGAACCAGGGAGGCCCCTGTGCATTTAGTATTATTAATAAGGTTAACTGGGCACTTAATTAGCAATTTAGTGGTTAGTGCTCCAAGATTGGAAGGTCCCCAGAAGATTATTTAGCAGAATTAACTGTAGGCTTTTGTCATCTCCTCCCTAGATGCCTTGTGCACCCTCCTAAGCAAAGCTGACTCTTAATCCATCACAGACAGGTTCACAAAGAGGGCATGGACAAAAGCCATAAATCCCATCCACTGCAGCCAGTGCTGTGAGCTCTCCTGGAGGGGAGGGACGGCTCTCCCCAGCGATGTACCCCACTGCCTACGCTAACAGTTGTGGGCTTATGTGGCAGCAATTCTGTGCTTGACTGTTTGTTTTCACTTGTCTACCAGCATCTCTGGGATCTTGGGCAAGAAGGAAGCATGAGTCAAGGTCTGAATCTTCTGCTCCGGAAACTATAGCTCACACTTAAACATTCAGTCCTAGGTGCTATAACTAGAATACCTTGACAAATGTTGTGGCTCCAAAGCTATTTCACAGGAGGCCAGAGCAGACCTGAAGCATGTACAGAGCTCTTTCCCACCTGCCCCCATAATAAAGACCAGCCCTGCAGAATCAAGTCTCTAAGCTCGCTCCTGGTAGGAGTGGAAACACAGAACCTTATTACCCAGCCCCCTGCCCCTGACCCCTATGGGGACTGTCATCTCTCCTTCCCCCCACTGAGTCTTTCAAAAACAACTGACTGAAGGCTTGCTCTGCCCTTGCCAGGCTCCATGCTATGTGGCCACTGAGAAGGTAAAAGAAAATCGGTCTATCAAGGAGTGAGTAATCCAGTAGGAGAGATAGAGAATAGTAAATAAATAATACAATATCGCTGACTCTCTGCCGATTGTGTCAGGCACTTACTAGTTAGTCCTTACAACAACTTTATGATATAGGTGTTATTATCTCACATTGGTTAAGGAGAACAAGATTCAGGTAAATTAAGCAATAAACTCAAGGTCAACATGCAACTAGAAAGTCACAGAATCACTATTTAAACTCAGGTCTATACAGCTATCTCCTTATCACCCAAAAGCTGAGCTGTCCTCATCATTGTAGTTACTATACACTCAGAGAACAAAAACTATTTTAATATTGGTGCAAGAAAATATAATTTAGAAGGTAAATTGGCCTGCTGGGGGGAAAGGTCCATGGTACACTCCAAAGCTTAATGTAAGTAATTTGGGGCTGATCTACGCATCAGTGCTCTAGTCTCCACAACTAATGTAGAGTTGGCAATGGCATGTTGATGAGTGTAGAGAAGATGAGATACACTAACTCGATTTAAAAAAATGTGCTGAGTCCCTACTATGTGAATGACAATCTTCTAGGTACTGGAAGGGAAGGAGGGAGATAAAGATGAACAAGTAAGACATGATCCCTGAGCCCAAGGAGCATAATCTCAGTGAGGGAGACAACAGGCATCTCATAGACCATTTTATGGGACATACAGGAATAAGTTCTAGAGTAGAGGGGAGAATAAATAATTGAGCCCAACTTTTGGACCCTGCAAACACTTTTCAATACAGATGTTTGAGCTAGCTTTGAAAGACTGGGGGGTGCAGGAAGATAGTCGATGAGCAGAGGGTAGAAGTTGCATCTTGGGCTAAAGGGAAAAAAAAGTATAGATGTCTGGAGGAAGTAAATGTTGTATTTGGGGAGAGACAGGTGTTAGTTTAATATGAATAGAGGACACAATACTGGCCAAGGGGGTAATGATGGCAGGAAGTGCAAATGGTAAGGTACTTGGGAGATAGAGGGGTAGATTGTGGAGGGTCTTAAATGCCATTCTAAAGTATTGGACCTTATTCAGTAAGCAGTGCAGCCCATCAAGAGATTTTTAATTATGTGCAGCAGATATGGAATGATGACCTTGGAAAAATACTGTAGTCAAGGAGACACTCAATGCACCCACAAAACAATTTATCCTTCCTCTCCCCCCCCCCCCGCCACACACACACAGAAAACCATTTCAGTAATACAGAAGGGAGATACAGAGGGTATGTTGGACATGGAATAAGAACATGGTGGAAACGAAAGGCATGTGGGATTTGAGCCAACAGGACTCAGTGGCTGGACGTGAGGGGCACATAGGGAAGGTATCTGGGGATGCTGGGCTCTCCGGCATGGGAGATGATGGGTGTTCAGGGCCCTGACGGAGAAAGAGAGCCCAGGAGGAAAGGCAGATTTGGAAGGAAGAGAATGACTCTGGTTTGGGCATATTTAGTTGGGATATTCATGTGGAGAACTCAAAGCTGTGTCTCAGGTGATCATTGAAGACATGGGAGAAAACAAGACCCCCCAAGAGGAGGCAGAGGGAAGTGGGCACAGCGAAGGGAGGACCAGGTGGCATCCTTGTTCATGTCTTCAGCCTCCCTCACTTTCCCCCTCCCATCCAAGCCTCTCTACTAAACTACTATCTCTTCCTCTTGGTTTGTCTTGCCTCCCAACCTTCATACAAGTAAGTTGGATGGGTCTGCGCCTGTCCACCTATTTGGCAGTATGTCCCAAGAGCCTAGTACAGAGCCTATAGTCGAGCTTACTGAGAAAATGAAAAAGTGAGTGAAATGAAGAGGCTGAGGACACAAACTTTCAGAAACCTTACATTTAAAGTAGGAAGTAGAGACAGGAATAGGATAAAGACTGAGAAAGTGGTCAGAGAGGTGGAAGAAGAACCAGAATAAAGCAGGGAAACCATGGAGAACGAATGGAAAATGCCACTGGATTTGGAGATGGCCAAGAGACAATGACCTGGAGACAACCCTCAATCCTGGGGGAATCCAGGAGCAGAAGCCAGACTGGAGGGGGTTGGAAAGTAGTTGAATATAAAATTGTAAAATATTCTGATAATATGCTTCATTGGCAAGGTCAGAATAGTCAAGAAAATTTACTGTAAAGTTCGTATAAACCTAAGAGCCCATCTATTTGACTAGAATCTGCTTCTAACATTTTATTTAGGTACAGCAGCCATTAGACTTTAATAATTCCCTTAATGTTGTAGATATTTTCTAAATCCTATAGTTCAATTCAGAAAATATAATACTATAGTTACTCTGTGTGTATAAATGAAAATAATGTGGCAAAAAAAAAAACTTTCTTCCAAGTACCACCTTAAAGTTATTTCACATTTTATGTAAAATAACTACTAAAGCAAGTCAGAACTATCCAATTACAGCTTTACAGCTTTTAAATAAATAGCAAAACACTTTCCTCTGAGTTTTAGAAATAACTAAGAACAAATCTGGCCTCAATCATTGCTTCAATTTTCCATTTTCATTTTTTCCCCCTAACTCATCAAAAATAGTTAGGTAAGATCTGACCTAATAGAAAGAGTATTTCAGATTTTTTTTTTCTCTCTGCAGATGCAAAAGGTATTTAAGAAACTTCCAGGATTCAAAGAAATCCATGTGTTAGGATTTAGGTAAGTAAGAAAACCAGACTCTTCTCAATTTTTAAATTACTTTCTTCCCGTCCTCTTTTATTTTTTTTTTATTAGTTTCAGGTGTACAAAGCAACATACTAGTTAGACATTTACACCCCTCACAAAGTGATAACTCCCCTCCCCCAAGCTACTGCCCCTCTGACATCTTATATAGCTGTTACTATACCATTGACTATCTTTCTTAGGCTACGTTCCACCTCCCGTGACTACATATGTATTTTTTTCTTATAGTTGATATACAATATTATTATACTTCAGCTTCAGTTGTACAACGCATTGGTCACGCATCTACACAGTCTGTGAAGTGATGCCATGGGAACTGATGGGAAGGGAGGCTAGGGGAATGGATGAAAAAGGAGAGGAGGCATTAAGTACAAATTGGAGTCACAAAACAATCATGGGGATGTAAAGTACAGTATAGGGAATATAGTCAATAATATTATAACTATTATATATATAGTGCCAGGCAGGTACTAGACTTATCAGGGGGATCACTTCATAAATTATATAAATGTCTAACCACTACCCTGTACACCTGAAACTAATATAAAATAATAATATTGACTGTCAGCTATAATTGAAATTTTTTTAAAAAATAAAACTTTTAAGAAGCGATGTCATGAGGATTATAAGGCCTCTTTTCCCCCAATTGTTTAGCTCTGCCTAATCCTGAAAACTGAATATGTTTCAGATAAAGCAATTGTCTAATTAGAACATAACCCTAGGTGATTTTTTTTTTAAAGGAGTAACACAGGAATTATATTCCTTCCTCCCTCCAGAGTCAGAAACACTGCTCTCTGTAGAGAGCTCATTTGCTGTCCTTGGCAATGTTATTAATGAACCTCTTAGGAAAGTACCTCAGTAGAGGCAGACCAAAAAAAAAGGAGCAATTAGTAACCTCCGTTTCTGATTGCCTGGTTTCCTATTGATGCTAAATATCATCATTGTTTAAACAAATCAGGTTAGCCCTAAGGAAACAGGTGAAACTAATAAACAGTGGTGTTTATGGGGCAGTGAGGTCGGAGGAATGTGGTGGACAGGGATGGGTGGAAGCAAGGCTTACCAAAATACACCTTTTACATCATTTGATGTCTGCACTATAGTAATGTATTACCATGCAAAACTAACTCAATTAAAATTGTAAATAAAAGAAATGAAATAGTAAAATAGTACCACATTACAGCAGCGTTCGCTCATGTTCCCTCAGCTTTCCCACAAACCGGCCTACATCCATCAGCATCCCAACATTCTAATGTGGGCTCACGATGTGGGGCAAGAATTTTTGCATCTTTTAAGTTCTCATTACATAAAACATCTACAAGTAGGGTCATAATATGGTTGTTTTTGTTTT